GGACCCGAGTTGAGGTGCGGCAGAAACCGTAGACGCCCGACTCGCCCATCGTGTCAGCTTCTGGCTGAAGTCGAGTACTCGCGCAGGTTGAGACGGGGTAGTGTAGGTGCACTGCTTGGGCGCATTGGGACCCAGCATGTTGGTCAGCACGGTGGCGTGGCCGACCTCCTGCTCGGCCATGAACTGGAGCAGGTAACGGTCCTCGGCCGTGAGGTGTAGGCGTCAAACTCCTCCTCGGAAAAGGTGGCAAGACCCCAGTGGAAGAGGTCGAGCTCAATCCACTCCTGGAAGAGCGCCAATGAGAGGGATTGATAGTCGAAGTCGCTGTTGACGCGGTAGACAGGCGCCGACCCGTTGGTGCCGATGCCGCCGGACGGGGTGTACGGTGCCGGCTGGTCGCCATGCAGCTTACCGTCAGCGGGATACTTGTAAGCGTCGGGGCCGGGAGGTAGGGGCTCGATCGATGGCGCAAGTACTTTGGTCGATAGGGCCCCCGTCGTCGTCGGCGTGCCCTCGTACGGACCATGTGAGGTCACGTTGGCGTGAGGAATGGCCGGGTTTGTGAATGTTGCCTCGGCGCTGACAGTTGTCTGGGCCTCGGACACATACGGCGCTGCAAGAGCGCCTCGGGCCAGAGCGAAGAGCCCGGCGCCTTGAAGGAGTCTCGTCATGGTGGTCGTGGCGGTGATGCAAGAGACGAAGATGGTCAGATACGGGTGTCGAGATGTCGGCGCTCTTCAGGCCATGGTCTTCTCCTGAACAAACCACACCTTACTTATACTCAACGATGGCATACTGTTCCACACCGATCCATCATTTGAGCTCCTAGATCCGGATCCATACATCGGCGCTACATCTGAACAATCGGCAGGACAGCCTTGCGACATCGGGGATTAGAAAGTGGTGAGCTCACCGAGAACGTCGCCTCTCGTCATGAATCAGTCACTGTCCGCCAACAAGACGCAGTGAAGACGCGTCCATTTTGGTGAGTACCACCTCTGATGCTACGCCAGTGATGTCCGAGAGGAAGCAGCAGTTGATGACGGTTTTAGACTGAGTCAAGCTTTCCGTTGCGACGGGACCCGGGATTAAAGCTCCGGGCCGGGTGAAAGCCATGCAAAGACTTTCTTCCCCTGGACGTGAGGTTGCGACGTTGATGACGGTCACGACTCTAGATGGGCCGCGCACATCCTTCTCCGCCAGATTCTTACCGGTTCCTACAAGTCTCAGCACTGGGGATAGCGAGAGCAGTTATCCCGACCGGGCTTTATTCCGGAGTGTTTGTTGCGACCTCTCGTCCGGGCCCATTTCCGACCCAATCACGCAGCTCTGTACACCAAGACGGCTGGAAATCGATGACGGCACAATTATACAACGACCATCGCACAACCGGCGTCGTAGCCCACTCTTCAAGTCGAAATAACTGTACTCACAACGTGGGACACAG